TTTGGAAAGTCACGGTTCCGAACGTAGTCGGATACCTTAAGGACTTTTCAATTTTTCTTTTATTATTTGAGAAAAAATCTAATCAAACTGAAGTAAATATTTTAAATGTGTGTGACTTAAATATAGGATACAAATCACAGACACTTTTCGCTGACATTTCAGGGATGATATCTGCAGGCAAAATTGTCATATTTTGTTCAAACTATTGTAACTTTATAGTCATTTGATCATCTGCAAGTAATATGTTGAACTTTTTTTTGCTTGTGTCTTCCTGACAGGGTACATTGGGGGGTACACTTCTGGCTTCATATTTTTTGAAAGTTTTATAGTTATATTTTGAAAATTTTCTTTCAACTCAAAAGTATCATGGTTCATCAGTTTTCTCAAATTTACTTTCGCTTTTATGATTAATATCCATTATTTCATCAGGTTTTTCCCCTGTTTGATCAGTTTGATTTTCATTCAATAGTGATCGCTAACACAGATGCCCATTTCTTCCTTTTTATTCAGTTCATCTACATTTATAAACCATAATGAGTCGTTAAATGCCGCTATTAAAACCACTAAATGGTTCACAAGGGAAATATGGAACCTGTTCAAAGAAAATATTTTGGAACAAAAGTGGTCACGTGGGGAACTCAGTCACCCCAAGTACCTTAAGGTATCCTACTACGTTCGGAACCGTGATTTTAAAAAAGCGCATAAATGGATAATTTTCATGATTTTTAGTGTCACTTAGAATACATGCATAAAACTGTTTTAAGGACATTTTGACAACAAAATTTATTTAAATATAATATTTTGGCAAAAAATTAACTTAGAATAATTTTTTTCTAAATGTTCTCCTTTTATAAAATATGTTTCTAAAAAATAATATTTCGCTTATTTTTGAAAAATTCGCATTTTCAGAGTTACCTCCAATTGAAATAATTAGCGGCATTTTTTTCTTAAAATTTCTCCCCTCTGTTGTAGTAAAATATGGATAAATCCACTTCTAAGTTGTATATTTCAAAAGTTCTAGTTCAGACTCTGTACGGAGATCTGAGCTATACACAGGCAAAATATAATTATAATAGAAGCATTTTTCGGAAAAGGAGAATATTTTGAAAATGTGTCATTCTATGTTCATTTTTTTGTCAAAATATTGTACTTAAATAATTTTTATTGTAATACTATTCTTAAAATAATTTTACATACATTTTCTAAAATAAGTGACACTATATATCATAAATAATATCCATTTATACACTTTTGCAAAATCACGGTTCCGAACGTAGTCGGATACCTTAAGATTATAAGAAAATGTTTGACACTCCTAAAAAAAAGAGGTAGATATGTGACAAACGCAATTTAGTTTCCATGAAGAGTGTCATATAGGAGGACCCTGATAAGGTCATTGGTAACAAACAAACAGTTTTTCCAGAATTAACTGGGATGACTCTTTGCCCCACACGACTACTCCCAGGTTAAACCTTTATACAAATACGGTTTTAGGCCACTTTATAGTTTTATACTTACCAATATATAAACATTTTCTAATAATTCTTGTTCATCGTGAGTTGCGTACATTGCTAATACAGTTAGCTTAAGTATTTTTCTTACTAAGATACGTCCGTAATAATAAAGTGGCCCTGGTCGTGCACAGGGTCGACGGTATCAAGTAGAGGATACAAGTCCTGAGGAAAATAAAGACTCTTCGTGTAGAGGAGCTGATGCTTGTTTAATCTACCCTGGCTCACAGTCCTAACGTTTGAGTGGTGTAGAAGTTAAGAAAGTGTAAGGGGGGGCAGCTCAGGTGTCATCTATGTCACTTCACCGAGATTCAAAATTCCGAGGTCAGTCACCGCCTATCATCCTGTTGATTTAAAGGGTGATATTAATAACCACTCAACTTATTATCACTTTTCCAAAAGTAATCTACAACTTGCTTTCTTTCTCCTCTTCATATTATTTTTGAAGAATTCAAGGAATAATATATTATTTCTTATAAATTTTTATGTCGTATTTGGAAAAATTCTAGTAATCTTTTTTCAGTCACGTAAAAAAGTAATACCTCAGTATAATTTAGAAAGAAAAGCTTAGTTACGAAATAAAACTCTTAAACATAGAAGAAAAAAGTCTATTTGCAAAAGTAGGTACGTGTCGTAACGTTACTAGAGAGAAAAGGAGAGAAGAAAGTAGAAAACAGCATAAAATTAGAGAAATAACAAAAATTTAATCTTAAAAACCGGAAGAACTTATTTCATCACGAAGAGAGGAGATAACAGTTATTTTCAGACTGCTTAGGCACCTTTTGAAAGCAGTATAGGAAATAGAATACTTATCGCAAGACTGTGAAGGCGCAAACACCTAAAAATTCAGATGTTGTTAACACAGTGCTTCTCAAACTTTCAATACTGGTGACCCCCTTTTCGATCACAACTTTTATCGCGCCCCCCCCCCTTATACATTAATAATGCACTAAATGCAATAATAATGCACTTTGATGCTAAAGCTACAATAGGCGATCTTAATTATAAACCATACAAATTAGTAACATAAGTATTAAAATTTTGTATACTACTTTTTAAGCAATAAATAAATAAAATAATAGGATAATTATTATGTTATTTTTCCTTTCTCTAATTTTTAAATTGAATATATTGCAAAATGCGGTGGCCGCTTAGAAGGCAAAATATAGATATCTGCTAAATATAGAAAAAGAACTCAGAGGGTGAATTTCTAATCGTAAGCATTTTTTCCTTATTAATATTTTTCTTTGCAAGACAAGCCCATGGAAGTCGTTAATACTTATTAAACTTGTTCTTAATTTAATATTAATTAATTAGTTATAAAATACTCTGTGCAACACTGATACATCAAAAGTATACCGGCTGAAGTGCCCGCTCTTTGCACGAGTTCATTTCTAAGAAAATAAAGCATTATTGATATAATAGCTGAATTGTAAGGAGTGCAAAACCAAATGCTCGACAATGTTTACAAAAATGTAAAATGATTTTTTAAAAATGGTTGATCAAATTATAATTAGTTTTAAGCGAATGGTAATTTTAAGCCTCACAGAATTGGCATTTATATTTGATGTTAAATAATGAACAATAATATAAAATTCCGATGAAGAATAACTGTATTATTTTTTAATATTTAAAGCGAAAAGACATCAACATGTTTTAACCCGGGAGCAGGCGCGCACTAGATACGGTCGAGCGGGGTTATTGAGTCACCCCAATCCTTTTTTTATAATTTTTTTACACTACACAATAAAAATCGTAATTCCACTGAATAATTTAACTAAGAGAAAAAATACTCACCTACTTTCAAGGACTTTTCAATTTTTCTTTGGTAACAAATACAGTTTTGCCAGAATTAACGATTTCGTTATCTGTGTGTCCCGCGCGACCACTTCCGGGTAAAAAGTGTATTCATTATGATTATATGAAATTGTGTAAAACGTTTTTCGCGTTATGCTTTATATGTACAGAATACTAGTAAAAATAAGTCTTGTCCAAGTAATCGTTCAAAGTGTCGTGCGTGCGTGCGTGTGTGTGTGTGTGTGTTCCGTGGATTTCCAAATATCATCTCTTTTGCATGGAAAAAAGCGCAATAGAGAAATACATTACTTACAACTTCCCTCAATGAGAAACAAACACATAAGAGAGGGGTCATAACTAACTGTGCCAATAACTTAGAAGGTTAAACAGATTACAGGTATAATGTGCAGTATTTCAAAAATAATGACAGTGATGAATTTTTTATGTTCCTAAATTTTTTCAATTCTGTGTCTGGGATCTGTTTTTTCTCTGAAAGAATCGTATGTTAGGTTAAACAAAAAGCGTAATAAAAAAATCTCTCATCATGGGATTACAGCAAATCAAATAAAAGTTTTTTTTATTTGATTATAGGAACAAATATAGCTAATTAGGTATTGAAGAAGTTTTTATTTTTGTTGACTTAATATCGCGCGCGCGCCTATAAATTATATCAGAGTAAAAGTGTATTTTTTTATGTCTGAAAGTATTTTGTTTTAAGTCATTCCAGTAAATTAATTATTTTTAAATCTTTTATTTTCGATATGCTCGCGCCCCCCTCGTAGGGTTATCACGCCCCCCAGGGGGTGCGCCCCACAGTTTGAGAAACACTGTGTTAACATAAATGTTTTCTGAATTATTTAAATAGAGTGAATAAAATTTTATTTGCTTCTATTCTTCGTTCCTTGTTCGAGGAGAATATTTCCTAATGCGTATGTCAACAGAATTGTTAAAGTTATTTCAAAATAATTTTATATTAAAAATAATTTTAAATTAAATTTTTCTTCCATTAGTGATATGAGAATTTAATAAGCACTAAAAGCAAATAGCAAATTATACAAGCATCAAATCATATGCAAATTACATTCAAGTTATACATATAGTAGCTTCCTTCAGAAAAGAAATTTTTCAAAAGTTTTTAAAATATTATTGTGATACAATTCTATTTTCAAACTTTTATACAATAAAAGAAGAAACTAAAAAGGGAAATTTAGATCTTGAGCTTACTGATTCGAAATATCAAAAAAACTTTCAATTATAATTGATTATTTATTAATGTCACGCTCCAAACAATACAAAAGCTATTGGCTACAGACTTCGTAATTGTAATGCTTGATAAAGTGACGAGTTGAGTGACATTCCATTCTTCAAAATCCCATATCGTGCCTACTTCAGAATTTTGATCCACGGCAGATTAAATTCGTAAAAATTTCTCTAAATGACTCATTTTTCTATTAGCTCACACTCTCCCTATATATATATTTATATATCTTGTTTAAATTTTCAATCGTTAATAAAATACTTTCTATTCATCCTTTCAAGTTCAAATACATTTTTTTAAACTAGTAGTGGGTGGCACTTGATGTTAATGCTATTTTTTTTCAAGTATTAATTCATCAATTAAATTAAAAAATGAATAAATAGTAACAAACAAAAATAATAGTGCAACAGCATATATAGAAAGGAAAATCGTTCGTTGTGTCCCTGTAGCACAATGGATAGTGTGTGCGTTGGACTTCTAATCCAAAGGTCGTGTTTTCGAATTTCACCTGCAATAGCCTAATTTCTGAGAATGTGATTTCTTTTCACTATACTATTTTATTAGAATAATTAAATTTAATAAAGGAATAAATAGTAAAAAACAAAGAAAAATAGTCCAACACCCTATATAGAAAGAAAAACGGAAAATCGTAAGGAAAATCGCTTTCTATTTTGTCACTTAATATTGTGATTATGTGTCGTATATGTATATAAATATTTATATTAATTGTAACAATTTAATACAAAGTAACTGAAATAAAATCTTTCTTTGTTGACCTAAGTAAGAAATGACTTAATTTTTTTATATATTACTTGTTAGTCTCAGTCAAGAAGTTAAAAATAATTGATAAGTAAATACTCAATATTATTTTCTTATAAAGTACTCAGTAATATCTGCTTCCAAAAAAATAAAAAATAAATCATTATTTCACAAACATCAGAATTCATATGTTTACATTTTTAAGTGAATAATTCAAAATAAATCTTTAATTATCCTCTTTTTTAAAAAAAATTAACTTGTCTTTATAAAAGGTTTTTAAGCTATTTGTATGAATTATTTCTTATCAAATAATTTATCCACGTTTAATTACTTTTTCCAACGGCTTCTAGGACTAATGAATTTTACTGACTAAGGCCCGGATAGTGCATACATCATCTAAAACTCAAGCAAATCGATGTAAGCTAATAGTTTTTTCCCCCAAGAGAAGAAATAAAACGCATTATTCTACTTTTTTAAGTAATATGTAGGGAAATGTTTTCAGTTTCGTTATTATTCTTTAATCTTTATTGTTTAAAAAGGGAACGTTATAAAGTATCTGTTTTTTATGTTTTTAACTTTTAAGAACAAAGAAGCAAGGTTTTTACAATTGCATCTTTTCATGGTTTATGTATGTTTGTCCGTAATTTATATTGTTCTTTTATTTAAGGAATAAGTCCTGGAATTATTTTTCCCTTGATTGTAAATATTTAAAAAACATGTAAAATTGCGTATTTCTTTTAATTTAATATTTCAAGAGTAAAAATGATTATAAATAACAATAACTACATAACTTCTTTACATAATGGAGTTTTATTATTTTAGGTTTTTCAATTCAACAAGTTTCGACTTTATTAGGCTTATTACTGTTTTTTTATTACTAACAACTTTAGAAAAAAATCATCTTTGATTCCCCTTCACATTCTTTCTTATTATCTACCATCAATAATCATTTTATGACCACCCTGGAATTCTTTTCCTACACTTGATATACTGCTTTCTTTATGAACAGTGAGAAATCAAAGAAAAATTATCTTATCGATAAATAATGACCCTTCTTTGCTTCAGAAATAGCATTAGTGCAGGGAAATATTTTTCAGAGAAACACGTAGCATGTAATGAATATACTAAGTGCTCTGGTCGTTCCTTTGGGAATAACATAACTGAAGTCACCTGTTCTTAAATTTAGATGCTGCAATGCAATTTTGTTATTCAATAAAGTTTTATCATCTTTTCTAATAAATTATACGAAACAATACAAATTCTTTTTTTTTTCTCATTCGGAACATTTAATTGTTTTGTCATTCAAAATTAAAATGAAATGAATTTAAATCATCGTTTATATAAAAAACTTTTTCTATGTTTTATAACGTAGAACGGACACACCAAGAAGGAATTATGAAATTATCCGAATCGGACGAAAATCCGTACATATGATGCATAAGTTTTGAAAATGAAACGTTACGAGTATTTTAGGAATTAAACGTTTTATTCAGGAAATATATATATATATATATATATATATATATATATATATATATATATAGCTAGAAAAAACAAATAAAATCAATGTGTTAGTCTATCTCTGGCCCTGATGCTGTTATCTGGTTTCGCACTAATTCATTGACTTGATGAATGAATGTTCTCCAGCTGGATTACTTGTCATATTTGTTCCGATTGTATTAATAGCTGTATGTATAAAAGAGTTGACGAAGACGCTTGTTCATCAAATGCTACATTTGATCTATTTAAAAGAAATCTGTTGATCTCACCTGTCAGAGAAATTTTGAAAAAGCCCAAAGAAAAAAGTAGAAAGGCATGTCGTATAATTTGAACAACATCTTGTTGAAATTTAATTTCACGAAAGGAAGGTACGTACTATAGAGATAAAATCTCATGCCATTCTAAGGTAGTGTAAAGGTGTCAGAGACGGCCTACAAAGGGTCAGCTATGAAAGGAAATGGCTCCTCATACCATTGCTCTTGATTTTCAGAATGTGTGAGGAAGACAGTCGGATAAGTATCTATGGTAGTGACTTGGTATGTTAATTATTAGCGTCTTTTGTGTTTACGTTTACACCATCGGATGACATAAAGCCCATATTTATTAATTTCGAGAATGGCAAGACCCTCCGTAGTTCATAGCCACGGAGTAACTGCTCGAAACTGAACGAGTAGGGTTGCCAGATACAATATAAAATATTTTCAAAGAAATGCTACAAAGCCGGCCACCACAGCTTCTCCCCTCCCAGTGTCCAAAACTGGTACAGAAGGTCTTACAAGGATCAGGTTGACACGTATCTTTGTGTAAAATGCACTCGGCGACCGGAGCGGGTGGTTTGGGCAGCAGAAACCTCTTTTGATTTAGGAATAAGGGATAGTTGGTTAGACTCTATTGTGTCAGACAACATGAATGCTGGCTTGACTCTATCGATGGAGACACAAATTTCTTTGCCTTCTCGCTGCAGAGTGATGAGTTTTCAGATCGTTTAACTACAGAGAAAGGTCCATCGTAGGGAGGTTGTAATGGTTTTCTGAGAGCATCATGTCGTAAAAATACGTGAGTACATTGGGAGAGTTCTTTTTGTTCGAAAACAGTTTTACATCCATGTGAAGATGTAGGAACGGGGTTGAGATTATGCATGGTTTATTTCAGTTGTTGCACAAATTCAGAAGCGTTGTTCTTACCCGTATCTTAGAAAAAATCGCTGGGTAGACGAATAGTTGTTCCGTACACCAGTTCAGCAGCAGTAGAATTAATGTCCTCTTTAATGACAGATTGCAAGCCAAGAAGAACAAAAGGAAGTACTTGTGTCCAACGTGGAAGTGGCGTGAGCCATGAGAGCGGCTTTGAGAGACCAGTGTGTACACTCCACGGGTCCATTGGATGAAGGATGGTACGGCGTGGTTCTTATCTCGCTAATTCCTAAGCACGCACATAATTCCCTACTAAGGTGAGACTCGAATTGAGAAGGCCCTGGTCTCTTGTAATCAGACTAGAAACTCCGAATCGTGGAATCCCCTCACGAATGATTGTGGCTGCCACTGTCTCTGCTGTCATATCGCAAATAGGATATGCCTCTGGCCAACGAGAAAAACGATCAATGACTATAAGGCAATAAGAAAATCCTTGGGATGGAGGAAGGGGTCCAATAATATACAAATGGAGGTGGGGAAATCGAGCATCTGGAACCTTAAAATGACCTTCACTATTTGTATGTCGTTGTCAGAGAATGCAGCTTCGGGTCCAACTGCGGATATCTGTGTTCATGGAATTCCATACGAACCTTTTAGAGATTAGCTTCGTGGTAGCAAGAATTCCAGGATGTGAAAGGATGTGCACTGCAAGAAAGACGTTTCGTCGGAGAACATGAGGTACGTAAGGGCGTTCCGTACCCATGGAAATATCACAATATATCTCAGTAGTTGATCCCAGCATTCGTAAATGTTTAAGCTTAAGAGTTTGGTTCGTGGCAGAAAGTAGTGCTTTTAATTCATCGTCACCCTGTTGCATTTGTGCTAATTCCTCATAATCTATGGTACTAGGGGTAACAATTGCAGATATCCGATCAAATGCGTCTCCTGGCAGATTATCAATGCCTGGGATGTATCTAATATCAGTGGTGAATTTCGAAAGGAAATCTAAGTGGTGCAGTTGACGTTGGCTAGCCTTATCTAGTTTTTGATTAAAGGCGAATGTTAAAGGTTTGTGGTCGGTGTATAATATTAGTACGCGACCCTCGATCATATGTCGTAAATACTTGATAGCGGAATAAGCTGCCAGAAATTCACGGCTAAAAGCACTGTACTTAGTTTGAGCTGGTGTTATTTTTTCAGAGAAAAATCCTAAAAGGTTTGAAATTATCGCTGGTGATCTCATTTAAGAAGGCACCGAGATCAAAGTCACTAGCATCAATCATCAATGCGAGATCAGCATCCTGTGAAGCATGAGCTAAAACTGTAACGTTAGCTAGTTGATTTTTACATTGGGTAAACGCATTGATAGCTTCCGCGTTCCATTGCATTTCTAAGTTATCATTTTTCTTTGAATTTTTGAAAAAGTCAAGTAAAGAAGCTTATATATGTGCTGCCTTAGGTAAGAATTTTTGAAAAAAGTTCAAAATACCCAAAAATTTTCTAAGGTCGTAAACTGTGGCAGGTTGTTTATAATTAGCGATGAGGTCTACTTTTTCAGAAAGGGGTACGATACCATTTTTATTTACAAGGTAACCTACAAAGGGGACTTCGGAGAATCTGAACATACATTTACTAGCGTTGATGGTCAAACCATAATCATCAAGCCTTTGTAAAACTTCTCTTACGTGTTTTTATGAGAGTTGGCGTCTGTCGATGCAATTAATATGTCGTCCAAGTAGACGAAACAATAGTTTAAACCCTTTAACACCTCGTGGATGAATCACATCCACATTTGAGAGGCCTTAAATAATCCGAATGGCATAAATACAAATTCGAAAGTTCCGAAGTTTGTAATTATTGCCGTTTTATGCCTGTCGGTAGGATGAATAGGAATATGATGGTAAGCTCTTTGAATATACAGTTTATTGAAAATTGTTTTACCTGTGAGATTTTCGTTAAAACTTATTAAATTCGGAATAGAGTATCGGTCGGGTTGAGTTTGTTTGTTTAGAGCACGATAATCACAGCAAGGACGCCGCGAGTTTGTGTATTTTTTGGAAACCATGTACAATGGAGGACACCAGTTTGATTTAGAAGAGATAATAACGCCCCGTGTGCGTGCGT